GGACATACTGTGGACGTGTAGAATTATGGTCTACTTCGTCATTAATTTGAATAATCCTTCCCGCCTTCTTTATATTGGGTTAAGCGTTGAACATCTACTCCAGTCGTTTCGTGTTCAACTATGAGGATTGTTTCGTTAGGGCCCGATGCCACTACGGATGCTCAAACTGTTTTTCTTCTTCGCTAAAATTGGCGGCCAATGTGGATTACCCACAATCGACCACAGTTATGCAATTACGCACGTTAAACGGCCTGATAACACCTGGAAACCCTCGGAGCTCTTCTTGTGACAGTTGCAATATACCAAATTAAGGTATGAAACCCTCAGTAGGGAACTCCTATCCACGTGTTGTGCTGTACGGTACCTCACACACTTTATGAAAGGGCGAGAATTCAGTCTGTTAACCGACCCCAAACATTTTACTTTCCCTGCAAATTCATCTTCAGACGGGTATTTCTCTCAGGAATCTCGACAACTAAATTGCACCTCGTAGTTTGCTCCAGACGTTTAAAACATTTCTGAGGCGAACTATGTGGTACCAGACGCCTTGACTAGTATAACATCCTTAAACAGTTTCCGAAGGATCGCCATACCAGATTCAAGTGGATACACTTATCTCAATTTATGTAGACTGTTTCACTCGATGGCCAGAAGTGGTACCCAACAGAAACATTACTGCTGAAAAAGTCACACACGCTATCGTTGAACGATAGGTAGCAAACTTCAGATGTCTTTCAACTATCAATACAAACCGTAGACGGCAGTTTGAATGTTGACTTTTCCGTTGTCTGACTACATTATAGGGAATCGCACGATTCCAAAAGGCCGCTCAACGCTTGTATTGACAGCTTAAAGCTTCACTCTCGGATACAAACGTTTCACAGCGGACTGACGTTCTTCCATTGGCTTTACTTTTTATTAGCAATGCCGTGAAAGCTGAGGCTGGATAAATTGCAGCACTAGTTTACGGAACGACATTCGGACTTCTGAAAGCATTCATGGATCATCCTCTTCAATGGATACAGATCCACACTCTTACGCGATCAAGACTACAAAGGCCATGTGTTTAGTTAAACCTGTTTCCATTCAGCAGTGGTCAAATGATAATTTCGTTCAACCTATCCTACAACGTAGTACACATGTTTTGTATGTCACAATCTATTACAACGACCACACGAAACGGCTTACGAAGGACCCTTCAAATTCCTCTTTTGCCAAACTGAATATTATACCATCAATACAAACAAAATCAATGGTAAGGTCAGCATCCAACGTCCCAAAGCCACTTATTTACAAGGAAACATTTATTATACTCTCTTTCCTCTCGAAAAGTCGAACAACACATGCTTCATTGCTATGATGCTATCTACGATAGTTAACGAAAGGTTATATTTCCAGGACACTTGAACGACCACAACATGTAGGATACTGTATATGTTTTTTTTTGTGCTCGTATCCCGTGTGCCACAAAAATATAGCCATATCTTGAGTTTCTTTTTATATATTATTGTGTCGAAAACAAAATTGCTCTTTTATTTTAATATGTGCTCATACCCGAATATCATTTTTCATAAGCCAAATTCAGAAAGCATGGTTGAGCCAAAATTATTCACGCCGTCACATGGCATTATTCACACTTATTCTAGTTTTCATGTTTTTCTTCCTTACGCAAGCGAAAGTGTATTTAGACATTCATTTATATTTTCTTCCTTTTTTGAACGGCTGGGAAAGATTAAAACCTGAAAAAGAATACTATGAATCAAAGTTTCTGTTGTAAGTATCTTAATTGTTGCACTGAACCGCATAGCCCAATTATATTAAAGAAACGCGGGCAGATGCTTCTGGAATAGCAAGCTACCAGAAGTGTGTTAACCAACGTCAAGCTCGTAAAGTCCTAAATTATGGCTGGACACATCTCAGGTTCATCGCTACCTTACGTGGGGTGAATGAGCGAAAATGGTAAATAAATGTACAAAAAATATGGTTCTGTAAGTCTTCGACTGGAATTCAAATTCAAAATGTCTGTTCTCTAGCTTTGCACACCAGGGCTTAACAAATTTTCAGCTGAGCTGACTCCTGTTTTGAAACCTGATATTGCAGCGCCTGCGAGAATCCTTATTGTTCTGTAACAGCCGAGGTTGGCTGGTCAAGAGTTCACCTCAAACAACTAAGCATATATCAAAACAGTATAGTTCAAGTATTCATTCACTTCCTTATTATGTATAGGCGGCCAATCTAATCAGTACAGTAATTAAGGTAGTTGAAAAAACTTTCTCAGGCTACTTTAATACGTAACATAAAATCCTACAATCTGTTAACGCCTGAGCAACGCGGGTTTCGGAGTAAGCATTCGCGCTCAACCAACTTGCTTACTAAAAGAGAAAATTGGACAGCGGCCCAATTTAACAGTTTTTCTGTCTATGTGATATTCATAGATTTTAACGGAGCATTTGTTAATAATTCTCACTCAAGTCTTATGCAGAAGCCCTCAAGCTTTGGAACGACATGTGAGTAGATAAAAACGTCCTCTAAGGCCGAAGACAGAGAGTTCGTGTAAATGGGACACTTTTCGAGTGGAACCTTAATGCATTATCTTATGTTCCTTACTTTTTCTTCTCTACGTCAAAGATTTAATGAGACTGCTGTAGCCATCGTCATTATTATTTACAGATGATGTCAAGATCCGGAGACCAAAAAGTAGTCAGACTGATTATTTTCACGTCCTATCAAAGATTCTAACACACTTGAGCGTGTTCAGAGGGCGGGTCTTTCCAAACAATGAGTGCCTAAAAGTCGTGAACCTTTTCCCCCTATCGTGTCGTAGAACTCGAGGTGACCTTAGACCAGCATCCTGTATCTCCGACAACGATTCAGATGTTAATATTTATTACTTTTTCGCTTCCTCTAGAAGTGATCATCTCTGAGACCATAGCAAAAAGGCCCAAATGCCGCGATCTCAAAATCTTAAAGTGAGATTTCGTTTCTCTCGTTGAGTAATTAATAACTGGAACTCCCTAACAGCTGGAAAACAAGCTGCAAATGTTGAAAAATGTCCAACAACCTATTATCCTTATTAAAGATTACCGCAGACTGAAGACCATAAAATGACTGTGCTACATGTGCTACATGACGGCAAATAGGTTTGATTTTGCGTTGCCTTTTATAGGTAGCGAATGAGTTAACAAGTATTTATTATCAGTTCTGACAGTATACGTCACTCCCAGCATTCATCACTTGAATGGTCTACGTGGCCACTTGTTGGCCATAAACTTCTCTTCATCCCAGCAACATGTCTTCAGAAAAGGTCAACCTTGTATAACGAACCTGGACAGATGAACAACCATCATTGATCTTATGCGGAAGATTGACGTCACATGTCCCGACTTCTATAAAGCATTTGATACGGTCAATCATATATGCCTGATCATTAAGTTCAAACGATTAGGTATCAAACCACCATTACTTAATTAGCTCACTTCATATCTAAAACATCGACATTTCAAGTTCAGGGTTGACGTCACATTATTTAAGGATGTGGGGTCTCACAAGGTTCCGTACTAAGGCCTCCTTTTTTAGTTTACATGAACGATCTTCGACAGCAGGTATCGTCAGATTTATTACTTTTCGCAGATGCAAAACCTTGGTGAGAGATACGCAACCAGGAGGATAAACTGACACTTCAGGAAGATCTGAATCGACTTGAAAGGTGGGCAGACGACAACAGATTTATCTTTGATACTTTAAAGTGTAAAATAGTTCACCTGAGACGTTTCAAGTAACAGCTACAAATTAGATCGATCCTCTCTAGAGGCATCCTCAGTTGGGAAAAATCTGACAGTGTTGGCAGCCCACTATCTGAAGTTCTACGCTAGCTGCGACAAAAATGCCTTTCGAGCAAACTTTGCATTGGGAACATTGAAGCTCATTTTTGACCTGTTTAACGGAATAATTTTCCACATAATCTTCAACAGTTTTATTCGTCCGCACAAAGAGTACGGAAGCATAGTATTTCCTTCCTCACTCCAAAAGGATAAGAATATTCCGGAACGTATCCAACGGCGAGCGACGAAATCAGTTCGTGGACTCAAACTGAAGCCTAATGAAGAGAGCCTTCAATCACTGAATCTATACCCATTAGAGTATAGACGTCTTAGAGGTGACCTAATGAATTACAGCATCCTAAACGCTTTTGGACATTCCCTTAAACACCTACTCAAGTTTAGTTTCAACAAAATCCTTAGGGGTAATACATAGAAATTGGAGACGCAACACAGCAGAACGGACTGTACACAGACATCCTACTCCTTAATAGTAGTCAAATGATGAAATTCGCCCCTGTCTGTGCTAGTTCAGGCGATTTGGCAGGAGTCCTTCAAGAGAAAACTTGACACATTCTTGAGAATGAAAGATAATGTCTTCCTATGATTCACCATTTTTCCCTTTCCTCTCTTATCGACAATATATCTAATCCGCTGCTAATAGATACTACCACACAACCCTTAGTGAGAACTAAGCTTTAGTACCAAGTTCAGGCTGCAAGACCTTGTTTAAAAGGTGGCTCGGATATCTTAGAAAAAACACGGATGGCAGGTACCCGTGTAATTCCGGAACTCTGAGGTTTATCGTGCAGAGAGCGGCTTGAAAAGCTGGACCTCTTTACTCTATCCTATCGCAGACCAAGGGGAGATCTAATTTTGATGTACAGAATGCTAAGAAATGATTTTGGACCTGACTTATCCTGTCTTTTTCTTCCCATTAGATCTGGAAATCTCAGAGGAAATATCAGGCGAGTAGAAAAGCCAAGAACGAACAAAATACCCATGGCATACAGGTTGTGACGCCGAGTCATCAATACTTTCTGAGCTGGCAACTTTGGGGAAATGAGACGAAAAACCCAAAATTTCCCCGAAATTTACTATAGCGGCTTCCCCAAAATTCCCCCAAAATGGACCAAATTTTCCCCAAAGTTGGCAGCTTGGCTTGGAACCTGCTGTCCGAAGCATTGGTGTCCGCACCTTCCATTGAATCTTCCAAGAGAAGACTGGAAACTCACAGAAGCATACTAGAAAAGGGATAAAATGGCCGTAGGCCTTCTGTCCTAACTACACAAATCTGAATCTGAAATCAGAGAGAGCGGTTACATCAGATCATCCGTTACGTTCTTGTGGATATGGCGGTTGATGTTCATAAAGAGGTTTCGCCTACAAAATTTATTGATAGAATAGGTACTGCATTTTCTGATTATGCTAAACGTAGTAGATATAAATAATGAAGACTACATTCGAGAATTGTTAAGGCCTCCAGATATCAAGGAGGATGTGAAACTAATGCAGGAACGTAGTCGCGTTTCACTCATCTTACGTTCTGCATATTTTCGGAAAGAATTGGAAAAGATCGTGGCATCATCATTAAAATCTGGGTGTCTTAACGCTAATGTTATCGCTCTTAAGCAAATAGTTGAGTATCTGACACCACAAACTCGACTAGGATCTTCTGCTTTCACAAGAGGTACGCCATTGTTTCTACAGTTTTGTGTTGCATGGAAAGTTAGTTTTACACGCAGTTCTTGTATGTACTGTATTTAAGGTATTTATTTTGGACTCTGATTGGATGTTATGTTTGATATGACTGGGAAGTTCCATTCAGTCTTAAGCCAGACTGTCACTACTTAGTAACTCATAAACAAATACCTGATTTGACTGTTTAGTATGACAAGCTTTTTACCTGGGACTAATGTGTCAATTAAGGGTGAATGTTTATGATCCAGGGGTTGATTTACTAAGTGTAAAACTTAATGAGTTCTCGACTGACCCCAATTTCGCGAATAACTAACCCTGTCTTTATTTTCAGTGTTGTCATTCATGCATGTCTCTTCAAACCAAGAAATATCAAAATACCTAACAATTATAGAGTCACAGCAGGAAGTCGGCAGTGTTATCAATCCCGATGAGCGCAACGTTTTGCGAGATTCTTCTTGCAAAATAGTATATGTTGGCTCTACTATCCCGATGAAATAAATTTCACGTAATACTATTTCGTATACTGACCACTGTAGTGTTTTGTCTGAAACTTGTTAGGGCAAGCCTTCTAATCACTTGTTTAGTTATACACAACCACATAAGGCTAGCGCGATAAAATTATCATGTAAAAGTATCATCAGTAAGAAAGATTAGGTGTAGAAGATGCAATACAGAAGAAAGAAAGAAATCTGTGAATCAGAAGAGTCTAAGGTATTTTTGAAATTCAGGATGTAAGGGAATGTAAGGAATAATTGCATCTACGCCATTATTACTAGTCCTAAGCTATCTCACCCTTAGTTAAAAGACATAAATACGGTCTTAGGTGAAACTGTTCACTTTAGACTTATAATTATCACAGACCTCGTAGAAATCATGACGGTGCATTAAGAGTATGAACTATTTGCTTTACCAACTACACTACTACAAAGATCAAAGTATAACCATGGAAATAGTTGCGTTATCCAGTTAACATAGATTCCGACCGTTGCTGCTATCTTGACGTGGTGGTCGGGCTTGCCTATCGCAGTGAACCAGTCGAGCTATACTGGCTGGAACAATCGCTCCTCAAGGTCTCACCATACCAGACAGGTCGCGTGAAGACTGGTAAGAATAAAAGCATCAAACTCAAGCTCCGAGGGTGAAGTTGTACTGCTGATTGTACAGAGGTGTGACTGCAGTAAGATGTTTTCCTCAGACAACCAGCATAACAACGATGCTGCCTTCCCACAAAGGGAGGGTGGGGTTAGAAAACGTTAATGCCGAGAATGCACACCTGACCTTATCTCACGGATTTCCGTCTACAGCGGAAAAGTCTCAAGTATGGAGCTAACACAACACGGATTCGAAAAGCTCGTTCGGCTTTTGTCAACTTACGTCACCTACGACAAAGGTCTATCAATTAAGAGACGAGTATACTGTGCAGCAGTTCGTTCTGTCCCACTTTAATTTGCGAAACGCGGCAATTAAGGTTGGAGGATCCTCGTAAGTTACTAGTATTTGACCAGAGATGCCTTAGAAATATTGCCGGCGTCTGCTTGGATCACCGGGTAGGTAATAGTGAGGTTAGACACAGGTTATTAGGGAATGATGGTAAATCAGTTGATGAGGTTGTAAATCTTCGTCGACTGAGATTGTTGAGCCACGTGCTACATATGTCTGAACTCCGATTAGCACGACGAGCAATGCTGACTAGTGTTGGAGACGTATGAAAGAATGTTAGGGGCTTCCAAACCGAAGCGTGCCATCAGTCCATAAAGTCACTAATTTCTGGTCTAAGTTATGCAGGTAGATGCAGACTACTTGGTTGGGGTCCGCGCGTCTATCGTAACAAGTGATTGGAGACTCTGTGTGACATGGCTCAGTATCGACTACAATTGCGTAGATGTATACGGTCTTTGTCTCCCTAAACTGTGAGATGAAAGTCACTGTATACCTCTGTTTCCACGAACTAATTCTTTTTTTCTGTATTATATCCTTATTCGCAATCTTTCTTTTATGTATTACTACTATTGAGGTAAATACTTCTGTGAATTTGGTGTTCATTCTGTTGTGCTAATGAGGTGTGGTAATGTGGACTGATGCATATGCGTGCTAGGTCCTAAGTTGTAGCTGACTGTTTAATAGGTCTTTTTCTTCTAATTTACGAACTAGCTTTTTTAATCAATTTTTATTCATGAAATGTTCCGTTAATTTTAATATTAGCTTGCCGACCAAGTAGCATGTATACTGCAAAGCAGTCCACTCTGTTCTTCTGTATTAGTAAATCTATCGCGCGTTGTGAAATAACCGAGTAAACAATTTTGAGGTTAGGAATAGGATAATTGGCAAAGTTTTCAAATCGATTGATAAGGTGATGAATCTTCAACTGAGGTAATGAGGATATGTGTTACGCATACCTATTCACTCCTTATCCCTTCACACGATGCTTTTTAGTGCTGGAGTAGGTTGGAAGAAAGGTAGGGGCAACCAAACCAAAATGTAGCATCAGTCCATGAAGCCATCGACTGTTGAATGAGGCATATAGGTCATTCAAACTAACTGTTTGGAGTCCATGTCATGATCCCGACCAGTGGTTGGAAACTGGGTGACATGAGGGAGGTACGTCTACTCTTTATCTCCCCTTTGATCTCGAGTTCCAGTATCTCTTCATACATACCTTTCCACTGTCTTTCCGAACCACATTCCCAAGGTTTAGTCTTTTTTCCTGTCACTGTTACTAGATTATTTTTACCCCTTCTTATTTTCATCTCGTCGTACTAACCAAGTATGACTGGTTCTATATTGATGATATATCTAACTCAGCAAATCACTTTTCGTCAGCAGTTCTTAATTTAAAATCAACCTTTAAAAGGGTTTAAGGATAGACACTATTGATTTGCAAATTTTCTTTCATAGGTTGTCACTCCCTTTGCCTCTGTTAGAAGTAGAAGAAAGTTTTCAACGTCTCATACTGCAGTTGAATATTGAGTAACCGAAAATATCAATTGTTTTATACATCATTGCCTGTTTATATACCTTTTCTCAACTCACTTTTCTTGACTTTGATCGCATAAGTCGCTTTTGAAGCAGTTTCTTTAGTAAACAAAATTAGCTAGTCAGCCGCTGTTTTACCTCAGCGTCCTCATTTTTTTCAGGTATATTTTAAATTGTCACTAAATATCATCGTGAAGGGGCAAATTTTCGGTAGTAATAGTGTTTTATAGTTGATTAAATCGACTCATTGTTTGGGTTATATTTCATCTAACCTGACAGTTGTACACAAATTTGTTGGTTAGATTGTGGAACTGATATATATCAGAGGTATATAACTTGTCGAATTGGGGATCGGATTCCATTGTACTGTATGCCGACCTTTCAACCAGTAATAATTAGGTTGAATATATCCACGTACACCATACAGCGTCTTTGTACTCATTCATCCAATCAGGTTCAAGATATAATCACATAATAAACCCAATATACTCTACATTATCAAATGAGACTGAAAGTATGTCTTCTGTAATTGTGACTTTAAACAACACAGATGCAAAGTTATCGGTTGGCGAATACTGTTAGTGGTTGCATTGAGTGTTGACCATTTTGTGATATTTATTGTCCCGACCGTTGTTGCTACCTTGACGTGGTGGTCGGGCTTGCCTATCGTGATGAAGCAACCGAACTATACTGACTGGAACAACCGTTCCTCAAGGTCCTACCACGTCAGAAAGGTCTGTTGAAGAGCGGTAAGACTAAAAGCAACAAACCCAAGGTCCGAAGGCGAAGTCGTACTGCTGACTGTACAGAGGTGTGACAGCAGTAAGGTGTTTCCTTCAGACAACCAGAATGACAGCGATGCTGCCTTCCCACAAGGAGGGGTGGGGTTAGAAAAGGTCGACCCTAAAAATACATACCTCGCCTTATCCCACGGATATCCGTCTCCGGCGGTAAGGTCTCAACAAGTACGGAGCTAACACAACAATTACCCATAAAAAGGTCGTGTGTGACCGACCTGAGGCAGTTGTCCCTTGGGCACTGCGGTCACGCTTTCAGGTCACTAAGACCACCTTTAATCCAATTTCCTTTTCAGGTACCTCCAGAACAACCCTTCCACGGTGTGGGCAACCGGGAAGTGATAACCGCCCTCATACCTCCAACAGCACTCAAGACCACTGTATTCGTAATCAACCTCCCTCTTCAATTCCTATTATTTCTCCTACATTGACTTTCGACTCTAAATTTCCTCTCTCGGCTTCCTCCTCAAGTGTCATCATAGCCAACGATTCTAGTGCTCAAAGCACTGTCCCAAGTCTACTGAAACCTCGCTCCAAACTACACATTGGAGCCTTCAACGTACGAACCCTATGTCAAATCGGTCAATAGGCTTCCTTGGCTGAAACCCTAGAATCTCGTACCATTGATGTATGCTGTGTCTCCGAAACACGCATACAGGATCCCAGTGTGGTCATTCACTTGACCTCACCTCGTCAAAACGGAGACCCAACGAGATACACCCTCCGTGTATCTGGTGACCCGATGTCCAGTTCTCGTGGACTGGCAGGTGTAGGTATAGCACTAAGCATGAGGGCCGAAGAAGCACTGTTAGAATGGATACTTGTCAACAGTCGTCTATGTACTGTTCGGCTAAACGGCTACGTAAGAACTCGGAAGGATAGGGACACACGTCGTTGCCTTTTTGTCGTTTCTGCCTACGCTCCCACTGACTGCAGCTCAGATGAAGTGAAAAATGAATTTTACAGAAAGTTGTCCGAACTTCTTCAGAAAGCTAAACGTTCAGAAATAGTACTCGTAGGGGGTGACTGATGCTCAGATAGGCAGTTTAAACCAAACAGAAAGGCATTTAGGTGGATATTTTAGTATTCCGACACAGCGAACAGATAATGGTGATCGTCTGCTGCAACTATGCTCAGACAATCGTTTATTTTTAGCAAACACAAATTTTAAGCATAAGGAGAGACATCGTCTAACATGGCGACCCCCTACACCAAACCAACGATGGACTCAAATAGACCATATTGCCATCAGTATCTAAAATACTAGCCTCAATAATAATCAGACGTCTAACGAAGACTCGTGAACTGCAAACACGAGAAAAACAAGTTGGCTTCAGACCTGGTCGTGGCTGCATCAACCATATATTCACCATTCGTCAGGTTCTAGAACACAGGCATACTTATCGACGTCCGACAATGATGGTCTTTCTTGACTTAAAAGCAGCATTTGACTCTGTAGACCGCGAGATTCTGTGGCAGTTTCTGTCATTGAAAGGCGTACCACGGAAGTACATAAACCTTGTAAAGGCTCTTTACTCGAACACTACTGGTCGAGTCAAGGCTTATGGCGAACTGTTATCTACTTTTGTAACCTCAAGTGGTGTCCATCAAGGCTGTCCACTTTCTCCATTTTTGTTTAACTTCATCATAGACCTACTAATGGAAATAACATTTTCGTCGACTGAATTCTTGGGTATTGATCTCCTTCCAGGAGGTCCGCTTATCGACTTAGAATACGCAGATGACATAGTCTTGTTTGGTGAAAACGCTGACAAAATGCAGAGTCTTCTGGTAGCACTAAGCAACAATGCCAGAATGTTTGGAATGCGCTTCTCTCCCTCTAAATGCAAGTTTTTGCTTCAGGACTGGCCTGCATCAACACCTGAACTAAGGATAGGGAGTGAAGTAGTCGAACGCATTGACAACTTCACTTATCTCGGAAGTCTGATCAGCCCTAATGGGTTGGTATCGGACGAAATCTCAGCACGGATTCGAAAAGCTCGTTTGGTTTTTGCCAACTTACGTCACTTATAGAGAAGGCGAGATATCCGTCTATCAATAAAAGGACGAGTATACTGTGCTGCAGTCTGTTCTGTCTTACTTTACGGCAGCGAAACATGACCTTTAAGAGTAGAAGACACCCGTAAGCTACTAGTATTTGACCACAGATGCCTTAGAAATATTGCTGGCGTCTGCTGGGATCACCGGGTAAGTAATAGTGAGGTTAGACGCAGGGTATTAGGGAATGATGGTAAATCAGTTGATAAGGTTGTGAATCTTCATCGACTGAGATGGTTGGGCCACGTGTTACGTATGTCTGAACACCGATTACCACGTCGTGCAGTGCTAACCGGTGTAGGGGATGGTTGGAAGAAAGTAAAGGGCGGTCAAACCAAAACGTGGCATCAGTGCTTGAAGTCACTAACTTCTAGTCTGAGCCATGTTGGTAGATGCAGACTACTTGGTTGGGGTCCGCGTGACTTTCGTAACCGATGGTTGGAGACTCATGGTAACATGGCTCAGAATCGATCACAATGGCGTCGGTGTATACACCCTCTGTCTTCTCTTAAACTAAGAGATTAAAATCACTTCATATCTTTCTTTCTACGAACTAATTCTTTATTCCTATACTATATCCCTATCACAATCTTTCTTCTATATATTACCACCTTTGACCTAACCACTCCTATGAATCCGGTGTTCATCTTGCTGTGCTAATGAGGTATGGCAACCTGGACCGATGCATATATGTGCCTGGTCCTACGTTGTAGCTGACTGACTGACTGATATATTGTCATCAAAGACAAAAATACGTTTCTGGATTAGGTACGATAAAGACCCTTCTTTAGATAATGAAGCATCCTTCATACCTTAAAATTTTAACATTTCTCAAGTCGGTCACTTTAAATATCAAGTGAATGTTAAATCATTTAATTCAACATGCTCCTTCATAACAAATTTGGGTTTCTATAACGATACCACATGTTCTGAATAACTGACTACAGTAAGTGACATCAGTATGTTGTGAAATTATTGTTAATACCCTTGGCTCTCAATTACTGAGTTACTTAGTCATCTCACTTAATTTGGGAATTCTAATAGTACTATGATTTACCAAGTACATATAATTGTAATTGTGAGGAATGACAGTACTGTTTGGCTGTCTGAACTGAAGTAATTGAGTTGGAGTTTGAACCTAATGTCTATTGTTAAAGGTCGCGTGCTGTTAATACTCGGCCACTGGGACTGCGTAGCGTCACTAACCTTCAGATACTTGTGTCTAAAATCGGAGTACTTGATGAATGAGTCACATTTTCTTATGTAGTGCGCAAGTATCCATTACCTTTAAAGCTGCACTTTATTTTCAATTCTTGCAAAATTTCTTCATGGTTGGTCAACCCATTAATCGAACTTTTACGTCCTCCACGAAGCGCTTATATTATGTTTCGAAATCAGTTATAGTTACACAAATGTACCCATTTTATGTCCATCTAAACTAAAATGTAAATACTAGGGAGTAAAACTTGTGGCCTAGGGATTTGACGTATTCTCTATGCCAAGTAAAGTGGCTTCAGTCGAATCTTCACTTTTATTTAGTCAGTCAAATAATTACCTTATTGTTATGGTAAGTGAACACCGGTTAGAAAATACTCACAAGAGAAATAGTTTCCCCTTAGGTAATATACGAGATTTGTTTGTGACAACTCAGCAAATGAGCTAGCATTGTGAACAACCCTCTTCTTATAATTTTTTTTCAACTATTACGAGTTTAATTTTTTTTAAAGAACGTAGTGAAACTATAGATCAACAGTTGAGTAAATCATTTTAAAAGGTCAGCATCAGTTGTGATGAACTACTCGAACCAAGTTTTAGGTGGACTTACAGTAAGCAAATAATCATTTGGAAAATATCTTTTGCGCCTGAGATGGTTATGTTGTAAGTAAAAATCAGTTACTAAGCTGCTTTTTTAACATCCAGTCAAATACTGAATTACATCGTTTATTTTTAATTGTTTTACGGAGGACTGTACACTTAGAAATCGTAACTATCGTATTCTATAAAAGTTGGCCATATTGATAAAGAGATAGTAGCTTTTTCATCTAAAACGGTGAAAATAAGACTTACTGATACAATATTTGGTATATTATTTTTGATAGGTTATTATTTCTATTGATGTATTTTGGGCATTACATTGCAACAAACTATTTTGTTTCATTTATTATCTTTATTAATCTTCAGGTGCCACTGTCCCTGTAGTACCAATTAATGATTTACGCACTGTTCAACTTGGCAGTTACGTTAAAGGGGAACGCCTTATACGATGTAAATTGGCTTCTGTTTACCGATTAGTTGACATCTTTGGTTGGAATACAGGGATCAATAATCATATTACGGTCAGTTATATTACTTGTCATGATCTCCCTTGTATTGCGAACATTGTATGTTTGTGTAAATGTCTGTATTGAGACGAGACAGAATTTAGTCAGTCAATACCTCTAGCAGTTACCGTCCTATGTACTGTAGCAATATAAGCTTTCCATAAGCCATCAATTCAACAATTTTTAAAAGTTCTTTAGGAACTTAAGTGTAGACACAATTATGTAAGCAATTTCGTAGGCAATAATCGGTTGCAATATTAGTTTTGAAGGACTTTAATGATGTGAAGTATTAGTAGGTATGTTTATGGTCAATCAATTTCTCAACAATAGATCTTTCTTTTAAAAACTAATTTGCTTGCCAAAATGTCACCGCTTGTAAAGTAATTATGGTTTTAGAAACTAACGGTTGAGCTAAATTTCTGCCCTCGTAGTGGAATTCCTGTTTATTCTTCCATTCCTTAGCAAAAGCAGTTGAGAAATATGAATATGTCGTTTTGTGTTCTCGACACTAGATTTCCATTTACTGTGTCGCTGACCCAATTACCCACCAATATTCTGATAGACTGATATTATCACGAGTCCTCACAATTATTGTGGCCCATTTCACATACCATGAATTTGTATTTGTTGAGTCGCGCGGCTTTTTTCATTTTAAACATGCCAGTTAATAGTGGCAAGCCACAATCTTTAGTCTGTCAGTGTACGCTACTTCCGTGACTTTTGATAGATAGTGAAAAAATTATACATGAAGTGGCTGTGAAAGCTGAACATAAAGCAGTTTGTTGGATGGACAATTAAGCTGTACTTTGGGCCTTGGGATGATGTCGTAAACTAGTTTTAATACTACTATATTTTATAAATTGAATAGCTCTCAGATGATATCAAGATATCTAAAGTTGACATCGAAGATACCTATCGCAAAACATTCTGGTCGTTTTGTTATTGGACTATCGAACGCTTCTTTTTGCTGATGTTTGTATCCATTGTAATTTTTACGAGATGCTTTTTTAGGTGTCACCCATACTTTGTATCATTTGATTTCCTTATCAATCATTATTCAATTTCTTGACAGGAACATATTACTACTAGTAATGCTAACCGTAAGATACGTGCAGGTTTGTTTATTAAGCGACTAGATATTGTGTGATAATTGTCTTCAATTTATTATATGGTACTGAAAGCCACTTGTCAGATGGTATCTAATGTGTCTAGAATGATTAAATTAGTTTGAATAACGTCGTATCTGAAATGTTAACATACATAACCATCTGGTGTTTAGTCGGAGCTGGTTTTAGACTTGGGCATATAAATTAAATATATTCACTCTTCCAGTTTCGGAATGTAAGGATACTCACCGACACTTGAATATAGTTGTTTTTTTATTTGCTTTCGACTTTGTTGATAAGTCAGTTTAATATCGGTATTTGTCTCTAAAAGGTCTACCAGGGAGGTACATAAGCCTTTTGAGTACTATCTACTCTAATATTTTAGATTAAACCAAGGCTTATAGAGAAATGTCGTCTGAGCTGGCTGTCTACGTTAAGTGGCGTATGTCAAGGTTGCCCATTATCTCATTCTTTTAAAATTTCATCGTAAATGTCCTCGAAATCATACGCTGTAAAATATGACTCACTGTTGACAATGTAAAATACGACTCAAGGAAGCTAAACCATAATAGATTTAGTACTATTGTCTTGTATCTGTTGTAAGTAGATATGAGAGTTAAGCGACTTCGTCGATGACTTTCAAATATTTATTGAAGTATCATTAACGATTGATATTATGTATATTACGAAGAAATATATGAGCTGTGTTTTCATTTAATCTGTTTAGTTATTGGTAGTTGTTCGAGTAATCGGAATAATCACCTACCAGTCTCCATTGTTTTTTAAGTGATATATTTATAAACCAAGTTAATAAATGGATTCTATAAGATGTAAATATCTGATTTCATTAAATTGTCACTCTAAACTTTTATTCTAGGCTCGGGTTTCTCGAGATGCTGACGAATATCTGATCAATCCCATTGGTTTACTGTACAACGAACTAACCGCCTCTTCTCTCGTAAAAATTAACCTTGAAGGTAAATGGTGTTAATGAATTTTAAACTGATCATTAAAGTACTAACAATTTTAAAGTCATTTTCTTACCGTATACTGTGATTCGTTTTACTTAGCCCTTTCAAATATATTTGTGTTTTATATTCTACCTGATTTAAATATGTATTCAGGAGTTATCGTAGGTAATTATGATCAGTAAGAAACAAACGGAAAGATGCTGCTAGGCTTTGGCGTTAGGTTAAATTGTTAGTTTGTGAGAAAATCTATAAATACTGGAGAAAATTAGCGTTGGTTTCGTTTTCAAGGCAGGTGTCTCTAGTTATGGACTATGAGAGTTATTGACGACTAATATGCAGAAATATTTTATCAAAATTTTACTCCACCCAAACCATTTCCCTTGTGGTTACAAAAGTTGTGGGGTTTTAATGTTAAAGGTTCACATTCCTCTCGGTTAATTCATAACACTTTACCGATCGGCACATAACTTATATATCATAAATTATACCTATAATTTTTCAACTTCATCTGTTCTTTTTTATGTTTGGTTCATTACTACTACTCTTCAACTTTTTTGGACTTAATCTCATTAATTTTCCCTATCCGCTGATATGAAGGGTAGCAACTTGTACAAACAAGAAACTGTTCTATGTCTTAAACTGTTGACGGCTAGACGGATTTGGAACTATTCTTGCTGCTTGTTACAACCTTAAATTATGCGTGCATCTAGTAAATTTGATTATGTTATAAACTTGAATATGTTATTAATAATATTATGACATATATATTCACAAGTGTGCTTGGTCTGTTAATTTCAAGTATTGATTACCTCGTATATATATATATATATATATATATATATATATATATATATATATATATATATATATATATATATATAATTCCATTTATTGTTATTGTCATCGTAATTCAATAAAATTAGGTCGTTTCCAATTGTTTTTAAATCTGCAAGCTATTTAGCGAACGCAGTGTCTTGTTATGTATATATAGTAAGTTCACTTATTCCTTGATTTTATTCGTACTTTTTTATTTGTATCAATAATGTACGCTTCTTATATAGTAATAATTTCGACCTCATCTGAAACATCGGTCAGCCAGTCAGCTGCAACGTAGCTGAAACATGGATGTGATTGTGTTGGCCTTTAGTTAAATTAAAAACAACGGCAGATTTATTTCTATGTTGAAAGGAATCATTTACACCTTTACACAGAATTCAGTAAAGCTCGTTTGTTAGTTCCCCGTCCTAAAACAATATTTTTTGAAAATGAGCTACGATATGTCCAGTAGATATGGTTATGTATGGTAGAATTCAGATTGATGATCCATAAACACAGCGACCAACTGCTCCGTATTCTTCTCTGAAACCAAACCCCTAGCAATTCAGAGATTGTGTAGTCATTCTTCTGAAGTCTGGAACTATGGAACGGTTATATTACAGATATGTTTTGTAACTGCTATTTTTGAAGAGATTACGATATCACCTGAACCGGCGAGCGGAACGAAGATCAACAACACAACAACAGGACAGGGTAAACTATTCCACTACACTTCAGCGCAGCTAACTAGAGAGAGAAAACCAGATTCAGCCGAGAGGAAATGTACATATATTCCACAAGCAACTCAAAGGCACAAACGAACAAACAAACAACACATGCGTATATATATAGCACAAAAGTGTTACTGGAAAACGTCACAATAGCGTACTGAAAGACAAAACGAACCAGTGATACTTTGAGTCCTTCTAAGTAGTTGACACAAACTGCAGGTAAAAGTGGGGCTTTTGGTGTGAAGATGAGAAATTCAAACTTCTGAGATAAAATTACAAAAAACTAGACGTTTACCAAGTGATTTCTAGGGATCTAGCATCACCAACACCGCTTTTTAATAGCGTATGTTCTTAGTGTTCACTTGCATATTTTACCGTTTGTCACTCTTGTCGTAGTGACTACTTTCTGGAACGTAGATCGGTTTTTTGTTGTATTTCTTGCGTAGGGACTGCGGGTGGGTTGAAGGTATTCAGCAAAGCTTCGAACGGGAGACTTCTGTTTCTTTATGTGTGATTTGGGGAAAACTGTCTCCGTAGCTGATTCCAGTGTCGAGTCTGCCTGTCTCTTCCCATCTCTACTTCATACATGACTTGGCCTAGCCTTTCGACCACATGTGCTTCAATTCAAAGGTCATAGTTTGGTCTATAATCTTAAGCGAACACCAGACATCCAGCCCTGTACGTCAGCAGCTCCTGCGACTTAGTCTGTAGTAGCGGTGGTCGTGTGGTTCTCAGAAGCATCAGGTTTTGGACCATCCTCAGTCTTCTTCGTATGAAGATCTCTGCTCTGAACTTCTGTTCTGATGACGTATCATTTGGTGTCGTTCGATAAACAAATAAGAAATCCTGCAGTAATTCGACTGGCATCGCCTCACTTTTTCACTTGAGTAGGGTCTTCTTAAACGTGTCCACAAGCCTTTCTGATTGGCCATTTGACTGTAAATGGTAAGGGGGAAAGCGAAACTGATTGATGGCTAGCCGTCTGTAGAATTAGTTAAACTGGCTGGAAGTGAACTGCGAACCGTTATCCGATGCAATTAAATCCACTCTCCGTCAAGAGCTGTTGGTGACACGATGGGGAGGATTTCTTGCCTTTTCAGAAACGCGTCAACTACAACTAAATAAGTAGTCCCGTTTATTGGGCCAGCGAAGTCGACATGTATCGTGCACCAAAGTTATTCAGACTGTGGCCATGAAATTGGTGGCACTTTAGCGTTAAATTTCGCCTCTTGTTAACACTGGTAACATTCCGCGTTGTCTTCTGTCGAAAGCAAGGCGATAACCTTGTCTCCTACCGTAGAGTGTTCACTGACAAGTGACAAAGCGTCTACCTGGCAGAAATGTTGGGTGGTTCGACAGTAAATGTTGAGGTCAAAACTCAATAGTACTAAGACCCAACGCTGGAGACGATTTGCAGAATGGAATAACAGATTTTGAACTGAAAATCATAAGAAGAGGCTTGTGGTCTGTTAGAAGAGTAAATCCTTGACCGTATAAGAACTTGTGGAAACGATGAACCGCAAAGACAGGGGCCAGTACCTCTTTCCCTACCTGGCTGTACTTCATTTTACCGCAGTTAACGTTCTTGTTGCACGCATTTTAGCTTTTTCTGTCCCGCCCAGAAATTGATGTGAGACGACGGCACCAAGTGCAAAAGCGGAAGCAACCCAGCCTCAATGATTGGCATGGACGATTATACTGAAACAACCGACGATAGGTATTAACGGTTAGCTGTTCTCTCGATTATTCAGCAACTTCCTCCTGTAAATAAACATCAGCATGGTCCAACTTTGCGAACTTACCACCATTCAGTATAATATTTTCAAAAGGTCACTGGGTTATCGTCCATCTGCATTCCGCATGACTAATGATAATTCGAAGTATTTTGTTTTCCTTTTGCAATTAAGATATTTTTAGGTATTCTTTTATTTATTGTTTATAAGCCTTACGGTTCTGTCTGAATAAATTATGCCTGAATATAATTTTTTTCACAACTATTTTCAAAGGAAAAAATTGAGCTAAACCTAGTTCCGTCCTATGTACGATACAGGAAGTGTTGTCATCAATGTAGTCATGCTTTCAGATATATGTTCCTATTTTGGATATTTTACAGTAACACCATGTTATGTGTAGCTGTTCTAAAGTTTGTTGCAATAACCCATGTTTTCACATGATTAGTTATACACTTACCTTTACTAATGATAGTTAAAGGGGAGAAGAATATTCAGTGGTCATCTAAGATAAGTCAAAGTTTACTAGTAGCTAATGTGTAAATATTTTTTTCACTTTAGGGTCTATTTTGGTTCAAGGATCTGTTGATCTAGGCATTGATAGGCAGAGTTGGATGTTGCATGCGGCTGTTCACAGTGTCAGACCAGATGTCAGATGTATTATTCATCTAAGTACTTCAGCTGCAGTAGCAGTAAGTTTATTTTTGTTCAACAGTTACAAACACTTGACATTTTTATTCCTACATAACTGTCAACCTTCTAGGAAGTCGAGGTATTTCTTAGCAATCAGTTTAGAAATGGTATATTATGTGAGTTCTTTTTTATAAGAATGGGAATTTCGAATCTGTTAGGTTTTCATGGTAACATAAATGACTACAAAGCGAACACGAGTACTACTACTGTTAGCAAAATATTTACAAACTTAAGTTGTCGGGGTGTTAGATATTTGCTGTGCAGTCGGTTTTTTTTCTTGTCATCAGTTATTTGTGCTACTAGTAGTAACTTTTCTTAGACCACAAAATGCTAGATTCAATTATATTCTCTTTTCCTATATACATAGGTAAACTGATTCTTGGTAATTGGGTTTATGGACAGGGTTGTACTAGATCATCATGTTTTTTTATTTGGGGTTCGGTAATAAAATTTTAAATTATGTATTAACATAGTGTTAATTAGCGATATTTATTGTGTAATTGTCAAGGAAAGGTTCTGAAACTATAATTGTTGGTCGAACTAAAATTATTTTATTGAAATCATGAACCGATGCAGGTTAAACCACCACTGACAACCTGTAAAAACTATTTCATCCTAGTATAGAACTCAGTTGTGCACATCCATGACCACTGAAACCACTGAAACGCAATCATGGATGCGCATTATTGAGTAGTCCTATACTAGGACGAAATGGTCGTCCAGTGTTTCCAGGTTTTCAATGTTTGTATAACCTAGATGGGTTCATGATTTTAATAAAATCCAAAATTCTCTGCAACTCCATACTGAAAATCATTTAATCTAAAATACATGAAGTTTCGTACATTTAAATCGGTTCATGATATTCACTTAAATTTGATTGGGTTTTGATTTATATAATCTAATTTACCGAAATTGCACCCAAGAGTATTTTACAATAATTTTCTAAATTTATTTTAATTACACATTATTGTGCTGTCGCGTTTTTTTTATGTCCTCAGTCAGTTGGCAATGAGCAATGTTGGACCTTGGACAAATATTTATTGCATCTAAAATACTGGCCTAAATAAAACTCGTGAACTGCAAACACGAGAAAATTAGGCGTGCTTCAGACCTGGTTGTGGGTGCATCGACCACATATTCACCATTTTTCAGGTTCTAGAACATAGACATGCTTATCGGCGTCCGACAATGGTGGTCTTTCTTGACTTAAAAGCAGCATTTGATTATATAGATAGAGAGGTTCTGTGGTAGTGTCTGTCATTGAAAGGTGCACCTCAGAAGTATATAAACCATGTGAAGTCTCTTTACTCGAACGTTACCAGTTGAGTCAGAGCTTATGGCGAACTGTCATCTGACTTCACAACCTTAAGTGGTGTTCGGCAAGACTGTTCGTTATCCCCATTTCTGTTTAACTCCATCATAGACCTACTGCTGGATAAAACGTTCTCGTCGACTGAAATTTCAGCTACAATGTAGGACCAGGCACATGTGTGCATCGGTCCAGGTTGCCATACCTCATTAGCACAGCAAGATGAACACCGGATTCATAACAGTGGTTAGGTAAAAGGTGGTAATATATAGGAGAAAGATTGCAATAAGGATATAGTATAGGAATAAAGAATTAGTTCGTAGAAAGAAAGATATGAAGTGATTTTAATCTCTTAATTTAAGAGAAGACAGAGGGTGTATACACCGACGCCATTGTGATCGATTCTGAGCCATGTTACCATGAGTCTCCAACCATTGGTTACGAAAGTCACGCGGACCCCAACCAAGTAGTCTGCATCTACCAACATGGCTCAGACTAGAGGTTAGTGACTTCAAGCACTGATGCCACGTTTTGGTTTGGCCGCCCCTAACTTTCTTTCAACCATCTCCAACACCGGTTCCCTGATGAACTTTGAACACGCAGATGACAGTCCTGTGCCCAACCACTTCACTCCCTATCATTAGTTTAGTCATTGGAATGGATCACTCTTGCAACAACATTTTACTTTTAGAAGAGGGTGAAACTCATCCCAAACATGTTTACGTTATTACTCAAGGCATTTTAAATGCTCTTCTGACCCTTTTTACTATTATATATATATATATATATATATATATATATATATATATATATATATATATATATATATATATATATATATATATATATATATATATATATATATATATATATATATATATATATAGGTCCTCATAGCCCCTGAATGCCCTGGTACGGCCGAGGGTGGGGAGAGTTAGCTCTCCCTTTCGAAATGCTCTCACATGGCCACGCTTATACAGCCACTGACAAGGATGTTCTACTCATTGTCTTCTTGCGGTGGTGGTGTTGTTTAAGAAATTGAGAAGACGAAAAGCGAATGTCCGGAGCTTTAAGCGGGTTGGTGGAGACGGAGAGTTCACCTGGGGAAGTTGGAAAACCCTGATTTCAAACCAGTGATGCACATGGGCTCCAGTTCTTTCTAAGAACGAATTCTTTCTTCCTGTACTATATCCTCACATGCAATCTTTCCTTTATATATTACCACGATTGACTTAACCACTCCTGCGAATCCGGTGTTCATCTTGCTGTTCTAATGCGGTATGGCAACTTGGGCCGATGTATATATGTGCCTTGTTCTACGTTGTAGCTGACTGAATGACTGATGGGCTCCAGTATTCTGAAGGAACAAATGTCGTATGAACTGATTGTTGGTCACCGGCTACCATGGGACCGCATCTCCTGACGTTGCTCCACTGTTTTCTGTATCACATCTTTAGGTTGAAGGCTCCGGGTGTGGCCTCCTGAAACAACCACCTGCTTCAGTTCGGGCACTCGGGCAGTATCCCAGTCCTCACACAAATTGAATGATTTATGTGGCGCATATCTGTTTGGTGCCTCTTTTGTACTAATATTTATGTGTTCGAATATATAAATGTTTATATAAAATAGTTCGCATATTTTGCTAAGATATTCTGTAATTTTGTATTAAAATACATTGGTTCTCCTCACCTGTTTTCGTTCACTACACTAATACTACTTCTACAAATAATAATAACTAAAAAATAGTGGTAATGATGATAATGGTGGTAATGACTACTACCACTATTGGTAACGATCGTAATAACAGTAATAATAATAATTTTTTCAATTGTGAGATCCTTCCGGTTACAGCTGTTTATATAAATAATTTATGAATTCTGTTCAAGAAACATTTTCTTCATATAATTGTTTATTGTGTGAATAAAATTTATGGTATAACGATTGAAATTTTACACTCTATTTTTTCAGGTATCATGTACAAATGCAGGTCTTTTACCAATCAGTCAAGAAGCCATGATTTTGGGTGAGACAGCTGTTTACGACCCGTTAATTGTTTTGAATAATCTTCAGCAAAATGGGGAGGAAGACTTAGACTCTCGTAAAGAGCATCATTTTAATGCACAGAAAGCAGAAATATCTCGGTTATTTTCGGAAAAATCTCCCAGTTGTATGGTTTTATTGGTTCGTAGTTATGGTCTCTTAGCTTTGGGACAATCGATTGAGGAAGCATGGTTTATTGCTTTTACATCCATGTTAGCGTGTGAAGCACAGGTCGGTTTGAAATAATATTGGGGTATTGTTAGAATCTCATCGCTTACTCTTTAGTATTTATCAACTTTTTTTGAAGTATTTATTCACACTTAGATTATATTTTAAAGTGATTTTTGTTCTACTGTTTATTATTCTTGCGATTATTTGTAATTATATAACCACATTACTCCACGAGTTACGATACCCTTTTAATTCCTGCTTTTTTATTGATTTATAGAGACTTTTTGTGGTGTATTGTTCAATGTCATGATATTTTCTGTATGTTTGTACTGTTTGATGTATGCGTTTTTGTTATAGTTACGTTTGGCAAGCATCAGTTTGGATGAATTGGTTATCCCTACCAAAGAAGCTCAAGAAGCCGCTTACTCCGTAGGACGTACTCCCTCTGCTGTTCAGTTGCGAGTTGGCGAAGTCACTGGTAGTTTAGGTTGGAGGCGTGGAGAACTTGAATTCGAGGCATTAATGCGTAGATTGGACTCTGCTGGATACCATACGGGCTATGTTTACCGGCTAAGTCAAGTACGCCAGGGTTCAACTGCTGCATCAACTCTCCAGCGTCCGTCAGCAGATTTACCGGATAATGCCTCCACTCAAAAATCTCGTGACGCCGCAGCCCATGTTCGTCGTGCAGCTAGTCTTGGTCGTGGTCTTCGTGGCCTCAAAGATGTAGAGATACCGCCTACAGTTTCATCTTTTGCAACTTCATACTACGGGGATGAGGAAAGTAGGTAAGTAGGAGACAGTACTTATTTTCTTCTATATTGTTTGTTCTTAGCCATGTCACCATAAATATTTGTTGAATTCTTGTTTCAGAGCTACTGCTATTGCTGAAATGAAAGCCAAAACACTCTCACTTTCACGTGCACATTGGCTGAGTACACCAAATGCGTACCTTCGGGAAGAGATTGAAGAAGTGGGTACTCCGAATCCTAAAAAGATAACCCACTGGACAGAGGGGTCAGATATCAATAAAACACGCACCGGTGGAGTAGCTGTCCCGCTGATTGATCCCAATCAATTTGCATTGCAGGGTTCGGATCCACAGGAGTTTAAAAATCAACAGAAGAAGGTAATATTTCAAGTTAAAAAGCATTGACAGGTTTATATACATATATTGTTCGGGAGCACTCAGAACAAGGTCATCTTGATTGCTGTTAGATGTTATAAGAGCGATGTCCAGCTCCTGTTTACTCTACTTTTAAAGGATGTTCCTTCTTAAGGGACTCTAATAGGAAACTGGACTGAAGATGATCATAGGAATCCAAAAACGTGACCTCAGCGTACGCGTCAATCTATTGATTCCGGTCACACAACCAGTTGGTGTTTGATGTTTTAGTTCCTTTTATTTCCAGGCTTTACTACCGGCATTGTGAATTATTGATCCCATGTAGGTTATGCAGTTTTTAGCCCCGATATTTTCTAACCTCTCCCGTTGTGAAGAGAGAGTATCACTCCTAGTGGTCTAGTGAAAACACCTTATTGTCTTGTCTTTTCATCACAGTACAGTCGTCAGTACAACTGTACCTTCGAACCTGAAGTTTTCTCCTTTTTATTATACCGCTCTTTAACCAACTTGCTTGTATTGGTAGGACATAAAGAAGCGAGTATTTCAACCAATGTAGATCGATTGAGTAATCACTAGGTGAACCCAACCACCACATCAAAATAGTAGTTACAGTCTGGTCAGGAAGCCCTGAATATCCATCAAGTGAGACAAATTTAGTGGTTTAAATATGCTGTATTTGATGTGCATTGTCAAGCACACATAAACTAGGACGAAATACCTTTACAGTACTCATTTTTTAACGTTGGTTCTTCGATTGGTGTCGTTTCTCAATAAATGTTACCTGCAAATTAAATAAAACCACTTCAGTTAATTTACAGTATTGTTACCTTAGTTTAAACAGACACTTAACAAGTTGTTATCAAGTTACGTACATGATAGATGTGCATTCGATGTGTAGTGATATTTTAAATTAAGTGTTTGTAGAGAACATAATTTTGAAGCACTGCATCTAAAGACGGTATTATTTTTACGCAATATATCGTATTGGCTGTTCAGTTCATTTCTGGATCCACCGTTTTAGACGTATAGAAGTACTCATCTTTGCTTTATCATTTAACGTGTTTGAAACTTGAAGTTTACAAATTGTTTGTCATATTGTTCTAGGTGAAAGATAAATATTACAAGGATGTAAGGTCTGCTGGACCAAAATCTCGAATTTTACAAGGTATTGACTTAGAAGATGAGTCAGATGAAACTGATGGTGGGATCGCATCACCTAAGGTTGTCAGTCCGAAAGGCACACTACTTCGATTGGATCCTTCCAACCCTCCGTCTCTGGAGCCTGGACATGTTGTTGTGGTTGGGGCAGCTAGTAAAGGTATCATAAATCGTAATCAGAGACACAATGTTGGTGTTTACCAGTCTCTATACTCGCCAAATCCATTCGATAGGATGACAGACGAAGATCTTGAGCGCTACAAAGAAAATGTTGAACGCAAAGCTAAAGGTTTACCCTCATTAGAGGAGGAAGAGGCAAGAGCTCGCATAGAGGAAGCTCGGCAGGCTGTGGTGGTGGCACGAGAGGCGATGGAAGCAGCCTCTCGTATGGGTACAGAACAAAAATGTAAGCTTTTCCATTTGTTGAAAGTTATAATGTTTCTAAATTTTTTCGTAATTAGCACTGAGTCATTTCAAATATTATGAGTTGTATTTCTTTGGTGTCTATCTCATCGAAATGAAGTAACTGGGAAGAATAATCAGAGGATTATAATCTCATTTGATTTCTGCTTTTAATACACTGAATAGAAGTCCATTGTAATATGTGAATTTCTAGCGCCACAAGTCACTTTAGTTGATTTTTATGTACTCTTTGTTCGGCCACTTCATTTTGCCAGAATATCATAGAACCTTTAGTTTTAAGAAATTAGGGTAGGGAATAAAATACAACCAAATATTATGGAATGCCTTTTGTCAACGTAGTTTTTGATTGTTGCTCTAGACAACATGTCCATTTTGACTAACAATTTATTTGAATTAGTCTCCGACTTGATTTACTGACCGAAGTTTACGCTGACTAAATTGAGTACTGTAGTTTCCGCTCTGCTGGGATATTCAAGAAAATATCCCAGAAATTATTCTATTAAGTCTAGTGCTATTCTTGGACTTGGAGACGGTATTATTTTCTTATTGGTCGGTAATTATTTCACGTGTCATTTTCCTACTGGTCATTATTGTACAATGTTACTTTCTATTTTATGGTACGATATGGTCTGCTTGATTAGTATATAAACAGAGTGTGTTTGAAATATGATGATTCATATCTCCGAGGCTGAGACTTGTGTTCTGGACTCAACTGGCTGGGCTAGACAGGGAAGCGGGACCAATCAGAACCCTAGGCCGTTCTTACGTGTTTGCGCGTCTTTGGTCTGATCGATAAATTAGCTCTCCTCTAATCTGCTACCGTCACAGTTATAGCAAGCTCAAGTGCAGTGTTGTTGTACAATCAACAATGATAAATATTTTGCTAGTTTTCAGCATCCAAATATGTTTAGCAATAAGAATATTGATTCAATGTGTCACTGTCAACTTATTACTTCATACGTCCTGATCTTTTGATAAACATAAATAAACCTAGAAAACTTTAAGCTTGGTAACATTATTGTTCTATAATACTTTCGTCCCTTACAGGTTCCCGACAAATTTGTACTTATTATAACTGATTAATTTCGATAAAGATATTAGAAGACGAAGATTATCAGAACTATGTGATATATTAGCGCAATACATTTCGAACAATCTCGTCACACTGATTAGTCTATTGTGCAGTATAAAAGTACTGTTCATTATTGTCTGTGGTGTCATACATTTAGCGCAACTTAATCTTCTTCACTCAGTTCAAATGTTAGGATTTCCGATATTAGCGTGACAGATATTGTCATTTGTTTCACCAATCTCAACAAATTGCAATTGTGTTTTTATGAGATGTTAATGTTGATTTTTATTGAGATCACAATTATTTTTATTTCGTACAGTTACACTACAAAATTACGGAGTATATGCTACATGAAGACAGTAAAAACTCACTAGACATAGTTACCTGAATATTTATACCAGTAATTCAGTTAAGGTTTATACTGATAATCTTAACTGAATTTGATTTTGAAGCTCTCGATATTCTGAATATTGGATAAAATTTTCTCCTTACTGTTTTCACATCTTAGATAATGGAGAACCTAGTTTAGACGTAAGTCGTATTCATGCAGTTCGGTCAGATACCAGTGGAGCTGAAGCTAGCCATGATGATACTGAAAAAGAGGTTAGTAATGTTTATTAATTCTAAGGCGTTCATGATTTTGAATAATAGTTAACAACAGTTGAACTTAGAAAGTATAAATACCAGGTTTATTTGTTCGATCAAAAATCAAGATAACCTAGTGTTTCGTCACCAGTAAGTATAAGGATACACAAAATATACATCAAGCCTCAAAAGAAACTTGATTAGATATTAATGGATTCTGATGATTCGTTTTTATTTTTCATCAATTTCTATAATTCAGTTGCACTACAAATATTGTTTTAAACAATTATCACTAATATCATTGTAGTATTACTTCATGTATAATCGACTTATTTACCGACGAAAATCAAAACAATAGTCGGTCATTAGATAACTACGTGTTAACAACACAGACGATGGTGTTAGATATTGAAATCTTACATAAAATTCATAAGTCATGATATCAGAAGTCCCTCTAGTCCACAATGTTACAAAGCCAGCAAAACGAAGATTCATAAACAAAGTGTCCCAGTAAGGTCTACGCAATGATCAGTTTACCTCACCACAAGATTGTCGGCTAATTAGAAAGTAGTATAGAACGTACTGACCGACGACTATGCAGATCTACTTGATATGAATTATTTCAGCTTAACAACAGATTGTATCACATAGATATCACTTGCAAATATATTGTCCTCTTTGTCTTAACATTTCTATTCATTAAAGTGCACCGTCTCAAACACAACATTGTTGACCGAAGTACTAATCTCTTAACTTTATTAGGATCCGATTTCAAATGACTACTAATTATGTACCCAAAGAATATCCACTTCTCTTTTGATAGTACAGTGCAAGCGTAAAGGCGAGGATTAACAAATCAAATGTCTCATCCTTACATTTGAAGAGAGTATGGAACTCAAAACAACTGTCTGGAAACCATCATCAAAGTCACAATATTCTATACAAGCGTCAAGATAGTCACTTGTACTGTACGGAGCTGAAACTTAGAGAACTACCAAAACCATTATTAAACAGGTACAAGTATTTATAAACAATTTTCTACACAACATACTCAATGTTCGTTGACCGGATATCATCAGTAACAGTCTACTGTGGGAGAGAACAAACCAGCTCCAATCTGAAGAGGAAATTAGGAAAGAACGTTGGATGTGGACAGGACATACACTGATGTAGTCACCAATTCACATCACGAAGCAACCCGTTACATGGACTCATGAAGGGAAAGGGGAGAGAGAAAAGCCAAAGAACACAGTGTATGAAGAATTATAATCAAATATAAAAAGGATGAATACGAACTGTAAATAACTGGACAGTATTAACGATGATGTAGTTGGATGAAGAATGCTGGTGTGCGATCTATTCTCCTTCAGGAAGGGTAACAGGCGTAATTAAGTATTATACCATCAAACTGACAGGATAGAAATGAGTCTATAGATACTGCCTTTGTAGTTAATTTTATTTGCCTATATGGTTTCTCAAGTCACATATTTTGAGTGTGGTTATAAATTTCATATATTTTTCTTTCTCATATCAGGCTAGAAAAGATGACAGTATATCAGAAAGGAAAAAGAAGCGTCGTTTCAAAATGCCTTCATTTGCACGAAAATCCAAGATTAAAGAATCGAAAGAAAAGAAATAAATAAAACAGACGATGATATTTGGGCTACTTTTTTATATATAAGTAGGCAATACATCAATGGCTTCAACTTTTTCAGCATTAGAAGCATGCGCCAAATTGAACTTAGTCTGAGATACTTTATTGTTTTTTTTCAATTGCTTCACATCAGTGCGCTCAGCTTTATGTTTGTGTGGTTAACACTTTTCAACTACGTACGCCGTTATTGTTCGGGCTTACATCGAATTTAATTCACCTCTCCTAAATTTTCCTGCAATGTCGAATATATAGATAAGATCTTGATTTGATCCTTACATTTCTACGTTTAATCCCTAATCTACTAACTTATGGCTTGTTGTGAAATTTCTTATTATTCATGCTGATCTTTCACAGTGTCTGTTTGTTTAATTTTAATTTTTCTTGCTTTCTTAGGAATTATGCATTCATTGTTCTTGCGAAGGAGTTAATAAAATCTTGATTTTGTCAATTGTTCGTTGTTACTCCTGTGTAATTTTTATAAAATTATCTTGAAAATCGTATACTGAATCCACTATGGCTTTATTGATAATCTTTCATTTTCTCTACTGGTTTATTATTTGCATCTATAAACGTTCTTTTTTATTTATAAGTTTCAATCTTGCTACATGAAGATTCTGATAGATTGCATTCTCCAGGATATCCATACCGAAAACGTAAAAAATATTCGGATACGATTCTCATCTTGATTATATACTGGTTTGGTTCGATCTATCGTTTAGCAGTCAGTCAAATGCGAAGTAAAACCTGGCACATTTATATCATTTCAAGTTGCAACATTACATCAGCGTAATGAAATAAAATTACCAAAAGTAGTAATGGAGTGAGCAGAACACCAGTGGGGACAATCGAATGTATTTAACACAAAATTACAGGACTTGTTAATAAAATCGAACAATCATAAAGTAAACGCTTAATTTGCAAAATGTCCATCAATTGTCTCAAAATGACTCAGACTTCATTGTTCTTGCATCTTCATACAAATAGCATTCTGTTTCCATTCTTTACTGTTCGATCCTCTTGTCTCTCTGTTGCCAGATCTTTTGTTCACGACTAACATCATATACTACTTGTGTCAGTAAAAGTAGCACACACCGCACTCGTTCCCCTTTTCAAGCAGTCATTCTTGCGGTGGTTCATGTTCGCCGTGTATCAATAGTAGAAAATATAGAGTATAGAAAGAAAACATTTTCTAAGGAGATTTCACTATTCATAATTTAAGGGAAGGCTAAAAGTGAGTGCAATTGTGCTATTTCTATCGATTCTGAGCCATATCATCCGACATCTCCAACCACTGATCGATAGAGATTTGTGCTGGTTACTACTTTGTTGATCCGTCTAATATTCACAGTTGTCTCGATATTGAAATTCATAACTGGCATGTTTTTATGCTAGTGATACATGGAGGAATTGCTCATCTGATAGGTTAACTTTTGTTTCTTTCATACAAATCCATTTATTAACTTGAAATTACCAAGGACACTGATCAAAGCAGAATCACACGAATTAATTATATTTCGTTATTTTCTCACCGACTGCTTACGACTAGTTATATTTCAAGATAAAGAATCGCAAATGGAAATCAGCATATTTATAGAAATAAAGTTTATCAGAAGCTAATGTACAAATGTATCAGTATAGTGTAGTAGGAATGCATATCTTAGAAATAAATTGAAATGTTAGAATTGAAATATTACATATTAAGATTAGTTCCGAAATATCGACTAGCTTAGTATCAAAAGACCACAGGGTGGTAAATAAGTGATTCTGTAATGAAATACACGGAGAGATATTAGTGATTGTTGAGAATAGGATGAGTTAGCATCAGTTCTGTTCAGGTGTGTAGTGACACATATGCTCAGTGTCACTGGATAATCGTATGATCCGTCACTGGTTGACCACTTTGATATCCACTCGCAGTGAAACCTGGAGGTTTCAGATTCTATCAGTGGATTAAATGTGGGCGTACTCTACTTTGTCAGAAGCTAGGCCAAAATACTTGTTTATTGCTTCCTGATTTTCGGTAGTTTTTTCAAAATGGAACTAATCTCTTCAGCTAACCAAATGAACATTAGATTGCTTTGATTAAAAATAGAACAACAAAAAGTGACTTGAGAAGTCATTTAGACAGTGCCTATTGACACATTTCTATTCTGTCAATTTGACGATACATCGTACTATCAAAAGAGAAGTGGATATTCTTCGGGTACATAATTAGTAGTCATTTGAAATCGGATCCTAATAAAGTTAAGAGATTAGTACTTCAGTCAACAATGTTATTGTGTTTGAGACGGTGCACTTTAATGAATAGAAATGTTAAGACAAAGAGGACAATATATTTGCAAGTGATATCTATGTGATACAATCTGTTGTTAAGCTGAAATAATTCATATCAAGTAGATCTGCATAGTCGTCGGTCAGTACGTTCTATACTACTTTCTAATTAGCCGACAATCTTGTGGTGAGGTAAACTGATCATTGCGTAGACCTTACTGGGACATTTTGTTTATGAATCTTCGTTTTGCTGGCTTTGTAACATTGTGGATTAGAGGGACCTATGAATTCTATCTGAGGTTTCAATTTGTGTGCTTCGAAATTATCAGGGTCATCTGTACAATAAATTTATTAGGAAAAAGTTATCAAAAAGATTACTTGCCATTTGGGTTTCTTCAGGCTTCATTCTAATATACAATTTGTATAATATATATTTATGCTATATTTATTCAATCAGTCAAGAGTATTCATCATCGTTTTACAGCAGATGTGCATGAATTTGGAAGCTATGGAAGATGCAGTTGGAAATCTGTTTCTATTTTATATGATAAGTGTTAGTCTGAAATCTTTGTTTTTTTTTCTGTTTAACACTGATCCACAAAATATATGCCCAGTAATGTAGGAAATAATACCTATTCAGAAATTCTATATAACTGAGCATGATTATTAAGAGTAGGGGGTATTCATAGGTTACTTGTACTTGATCATATGTCTTCGAACCATTACTCGTATTTTTCGGGACCACTGAGTGAGTAGAGTTGGGGTATTGGATAAGGTATCAAGTGTACTAAATCGGCTGATAAAGTATTGAATTTTCGTCAACCGAGGTGATTGGGACATCTTTTACGTATGTCCATCTACTGCCTATCTTGATGGACGATTTTTTTATGTAAGAGTAGGTTGGAAGATCATTTGGGGCGGCTAAATCAAGATTTCTTATCAGTCCATATAGTTATTGACTATTGGACCGACCAAATATAGGTAGATGAAGACTACGTGATTGGGGTCCGTTGATTATCATCACCAAAGGTTAGAGAATTTAAATGACGTCTCGAAATTGTATGCAGGTGCATTAGCTCTTTTATGTTTCCCA